TCCCCCCGCCTCGTGCTCCTTCCGCCTTTTCAACGCCAGTTCATTCCACTGCTCAGACTTTCCGGCAAACGACACCCGACCGCGCTCGAGCTCTAGAACGTGCGAGGTCACTTCGGGCAATGCCTCGTCCTCATGGTGACTGATGTACAGCAACGTCAACCACGACGAAGCAGATTTGGCAATCGTGGTCAAAAGGCTCATGATCAAGGCGCGATGCTGGCTATCGAGACCTTGGCAGGCCTCGTCGAAGATGAGGAGAGGAGGGGCTCCTATGAGGGCGCGGGCGATGACGACGAGCTTCTGTTGGCCCTGTGACAGGCGCCCGAAGGGGGTGGAGTACAGACTGGAAATTCCCAGAATGTCTCCCCACTCTTTCAGGAGCGGGAGAAGGCGGGCAGGCGGGTTCAGGAATGGCCGCTCCAGCCGTTCGTGCTCTGGCTGCCCTTGATCGACGGGTGGGTGTGGCGGCGGGGGTGGGGAAGACGCCGGGTCCACCATCCCCGCGGAGGACAGGGGCTCCAGGCCGGAGAGGACGACGGCGGAGGCGGGCCATTCCGAACAGGTGGCTGCCAACTGGAGGTGGAGCTCGGTGGAGACCACGCCGATATGAGGCACCCCCACCGCCACGCGACCCTGCACCTGCGCGCTTGGACCGGTATGCCCCTCCGCCCGCCCTCCTTCCCCCCCTTTTCCCGCCCGACGCCGGCGCTCCTCGAGGTCTTCTCTCCATCGCTCCAGAAGGAGCCGGGTCAAGGTGGACTTGCCCGCACCGTTCAGGCCCTTCAGAGCCCATACCTCTCCCTGCTTCACCCGCCAGCTCACGGTGTTGAGCAAGACATGCTCCCCCTTCGTGTAGCGGACCCCGTCGAAGAGGAGGACGGTCTGGAGGTTCTCGCGCGCCTTGGGGCTGCTCAAGGTGCTGGCGCGGGGTACCTGGGGCCGGTAGAGCTTGGGCAGGGTTCTGGGGAGGGAAGGGAGGGGGGCATGTCCCAGGGCGCGAAGAGATGCAAGCCGCTGAGCTTCCATGGCGCCCTCGTATTCTGTGAGACGAGGGGGGAAGAGGGGGAGGAGAGGGAGTGAGTGGGGCTCGGCCTCAGGGACAAAACGTC